AACATGAAAAAATAAAATGACAAGTTAATAATAAACGAATTCATGTTTTATTTTTAATAAAAAGGGCCATGATTTCTATTTTTTTTCTCGACAACAAAGTTCGATACAAAAGTCATTCAAACAACAGGAAAGTTTAATTTTAAGATTTTAATTCGATTTTAATACAAAATTCAATCTTTATGTTCAACATGGGCTCCGTGAAGTCTGATATACTCGCGGGCACGACGAATTGAGGACTGCTGTACCCGCCACAATAACCCAGCATTGTCCCTTATCACATCACAATGAAAGATAGAAGTTCCTCCCTAGTGTCGACCGGAGTGGAATACACCAATTGTTTGAGGTGTCGCCACAGGTAAAAAATGCAGAGGCGTTAGGTCGGGAGATCGAGGAGGCCAGGCAAAAGGTCCTCCTACGCTGAAATAAGGTGGTGCCCCATCGTGCATGAAGTACATGTTTCGGTGGGTTTCAATTGATAAGTGTTCTATTAAATATTGAAAAGCGTTCTGAAGGAACTCCAAATATAGTTGTCCATTCAATCGTTCCTGCAATACGAATGGTTCAATAAAAAAAAATTGCCAATGATTCCTGCCCAGATGTTAATTAATTGGAACTGATGTTGATGATGCGAAACAATAGTAGTACGAGGAATTTCATCAGCCCATGCATGTGTGTTGTGTAAATTGCTGCTACCATTTTTGGTAAATCTTGCTTCATCCATGAAAAGAATAGTGATAATGAAGTTTAGATCATTTCGTTGCAGTTTGCAAACTGCATTCCACGACGAAAATCTTCAGGAATCAGTACATGTATTTTTTTGCAAATGGTATGGATATAACAGCTGTTCTTGAAGAACTTCATGTAGTATTATTTTTGATACATTAAACTGTGCTGATAATTTTCGAGTGCTCGTTGATGAAGTGTCTTCTACAGCATTTAAAATATTTTCCTCTAATTGCGGCGTACGTACGGTTCCTCTCAGACTAGCATCAGTACTATTTTTTCCAAATTTTCCTACAAATATGAAGAAGGTCAATAATATGTATTACCTTATTAACTGGAATCGCCCACCATTCTCCCTTAGACGTTGGTCAACTCATTGAAATGTCTTCTGGATTGGCAGAACACGATTAGGATATCTGTCGTTATATAACCTGGCTTGTAAAGCATTGCAAGATGCAAGACCATACATGAGATGCATATCTGCATACTCAATAAACGTTTATTCCATATTTCGAATTAATTCACAATTAAATTCACCACGAAATCCAAAAATCGGTAAATTAATAACGAAGGGTCAATGTGTCAGCGATGTCACTTTGTTCGAGAAAAAAAAACAGAAATCATGGCCCTTTTTATTAAAAATAAAACATGAATTCGTTTATTCTCTTTTTCGTAAACGGTTCATTTCATCTACAATAAACAACACTACCTTTTTTTTAGTATAAGATTGAAGCTACCCAGATTTATTATTTTAAAGTCTTTATCATACAGGGTATTAAAAATTTAGGCATTACCTAAGTTGTAAAGCTTAGCCCGCCCCTGGTAAACTAAAAAAGCTAAATATGTTTCAAGAACACTATTTTAAAAGGTCCTTACTAGTGTCCATCACATACAATTTCAAGAAAAACCGATTTCCAGCGGCGTTCTTCAAGGACACATATCTCCATAGGAAGGGACTGTACGAAAAAATTTTATAGGAACTTGTCATCTTATTTTTTTCGTGTTCTATCTGATCTGTTCTATCACCCGACACATTTCCCACTTATTCCCGGTATAATACCGCTTACTTTTTTATTAAAAATAAATTGCAGGTAATAATAGTATTTCTACTGCATATCCTAACCTTAAGGATTCATTTGTTCAAGATTAGTGTGTGACAGGACATCGTTGTAATATAATTTTGTCGACCGGTCAAACTATTGATATTCACAATGTAGGTAATAAAATTATTTTGATTTTAGATACAATTTATACAGAAAGATACATGGGTCTTCCGACCCCAGAAGACAATGAAATCGGATATAACAACACAGATGTAACTAGGGAAGCGGAAGCCTTTAGAGGAAGGCGGTATTTCATAATTCACGGCAATGCTGATGATAACGTTCACTACCAAAACGCCATGGCATTGGTAAAGGCCCTCGAACATGCAGATGTCGATTTCCGACAGCAGGTAAGGCTCTCTTAAAAATGATTTGCTAAAACCAACAAAGACAAACCTTGTTAGAAATGATGTTATGAAATAACAGTTTATTTTCAAAACATTGAAAATTAAATATACAGTGTGTCTCCGTATGGGGTATCTCATTCTTGTAAACTTTTTTATTGTTGATTTTTTGGGAAAAAAATATTTTTGATACAAAGATAAGAAAACTCTTATCAAGAATAACGTTTTCTCGAAAAATCAACAATAAAAAAGTTTACAAGAGTGCGCTACCCTACTCGAAGACACACTGTATAGACAGTCATAATAATCATTCAACCCCCCTCACCTTTTTTACCTTTCTGTCAACAGTCAACTATTTTTTTATATATCTCCTACAAATATAAAAAAAGATCTGGTGANTGCCACCTGAGTATTTTCAAAGACGCCGCAGTAAAACGAATAAACAGGTGCAAAAAACGATCAAACCATCAGGGTTTTAGGTACTGAAATCTACGAAAATACTCACTTTTTATATATAACACCACATGTAAATATTCTTATAACATTTACTTGTTTAGTCCTATATATAAAATTGTTTACTTTTATTTATAAATACATGAAAATAATTCTTAAAATGTGGGATTACAGCAAACGCATATTTTACAAACGCTTTTTTTAGTTATTATTTTATTTGAGTAAATTTAAATAGAAACAATGAATAAACATCAAGGATTTTATTTTTGTGCTTACTTTTGTTCTACACGTTTTACTTTTCAAAATTTCAGTCCTTAAAAACGCCAGAAAATTGACTATTTCTTGGCCAGGGATATGGCCACCTTAAAGAATGCGATTTAATTTTGAAACACTATACATTGTCTTATAAAAAAATAAGTCAAGCGTTGATCACAGATTCTTTGGGTAAAACAAAAATTTTATGAATAACTTTGCTGTTTTTTAAATAGTCAGCTTATGCAGACGCATTTTTTATTTTTATTTTTTATGGTCCAAAAAAATAGAATTATGAACGGGGGAACATTTTCCTATGCAACTGTAATTCTGACACCCTGTATTTTCACCCAAATATTCTGAAAATAACGGCTTAACCTACTTTTTTGTAACATCCTGTATATAAGTTAACATTCACTGAGCTCCTAGGTCCATGCCACGACATATATTCTTTGACTCACGTATTACTTGATCTATATTTGCACCTATTATTATGTTTATCTTTCAGAGTTATCCAGATGAGAATCATTCCTTAACATATGTGAGCAGGCATCTTTATCACACAATAGATAAATTTTTTGCCAGATGTTTCGATATTGAAGATCCTCCGTTTACAGTATGGCACAAAAAGGAGAGCTTCTAGTCATATAAACAGTACAAAGAAGTGCAATTGTGATTTCAACAAAAGAAATTATCAGTAATTTATAAAATATTTTTGTTAAATAGTGTTATAAAAACAAATAAAATGTAATAGATAATTTTATTTCGTTACCTATATCTCGTAAAAGTGAATACAATAAATGCAATATATACCAATAAATATAAAAAAATATAAAACCATACTCAGCATGGTATCATCATAATAGGTTAAGAATTTTTAAAGCATAATACCTGGGATTAACTAGGATCTCTAATCAGTTTGTATAATATGTACCTACAAACTTTATATACTTAGAGAGCTATTTTCTACTCAATACGTCAATATTTAAATGTTATTTATGATGTATTCTGGCTTAAACGATGATTTTGATTTTCACAAGTCCTTTCGTGATGCGACTAATAAATTTTTTCTATTTCGTCCAAGGAAGGAAATTAAGTCTACATACAGGGAGATTCAGAACTTATCCAAAAAAAAAAAATGTTTTGAATCTACAGGGGACTCTTATAAATACAATTAAAAAAAAATCAAAAAGGGCAGTTCGAAAATGATTTAAAAATATACTTCTTCGCGGCACTGGAAACTGGTCCACTGTAAAACCTGACTTCGCACATTGCGACCGGCATGGCGGTGTGATAAAAAACGGACAAAAACTTTCGCAAGGAAAGAAATAAATAGAATTTTATAGCACCTATTTTATATCGGCAAATTCAACTGCATTTGCCTTTATTAATTAATTTGTGTTTTTAAATAATAAAATCATTTGACATACCCGATGTTACAACAACAATTATTCAAAATAACTATTGTAAACACCACAGATAACAGGTAAACACTATCGCAACGACGATTGCAAAATCGGATTTCAGTATTAGGAGTCGCTGAGGCCACGTGGCTCTCCACGCGTTTTGCGAATGACGCTAGAAACTTCAGCTGTCCAGCTATGTAGTGGTTGAATGTACTATAACTTCAATAATTTTTTCCTCGTAAACTATAAGGATTTTACAAAATTTTTTTTTACGATATTGACTCCATTTCTCATGCCCCATCTATTCCCAAAATTTTTTGAATAAGTTGTGAATCACCCTGTATGTTTCTGATTTTGGCTACTAAAGTTTGTGTCGCTTTTTCATATCATAAATGATATATCATAAATTAGATGCGAGTATAAATATTTGTTAAAATCAAGTTCTATATTTTTAATTACGTATTTTTCAAGTGATCCAAATAATTCTCCCATCACACTAGTTTGAAAAGGCTAAGACTAGACTACTAGACTAGTTAGACTAGCTAGACAGACTAAGAAATTAAAAAAAAAACGTTAATTTCGTACAATTTCAAATTTACTAAGTGTCTGAATCGTAACAAATTGCTTTAATCTATAAATTTCTGCTTTCAGTATCATTAGATATAGTTAGGGCTTCTACACAGGGTGTCCAGAAAATAGTGAACAATCTCTTAAATTTGCGTAGAATTAGATTTATTTTCTTCAAGCTCACCCTGTAGAGATATTAGCTGTTCAAGTCGATAGATGAAAATCGATTTTTCGGCATAATTTTGTAATGTATTAAATTTACAGAGTTACTTTGGGGTTAAGGAGACAGATCTCCTTTCGCAGTGTTAACCTCATATATACTTCCTTTTTAACCACCTTTTAAGATTCTGATGCTCTTTCAAGCGAAAATTGCTCGGAAAAAGGTGCAATTGTTTTATCGAGTAGTCAACTGTTTTCAAGGAGAAAATACTGAACGAAATTAAGTATAGTCTTTCCGATCTCAATTGAGGAACCAAGAGGTCGGCAGTATGTACCAGGTTCAGTCGCTGACGCAGCAACTCATCATTGAAATATTTGTAAAGCTTGNAAAATTTAGCTGTGTATACCAAATTTCATTCATTTATCACAACGCGATTGAGAGATATTGCAAAAAAATGATTTCCATTCCTCCCTCTTCAATGGGTCCCTGTGCCCTTAGGAAGCATTTCCGGACCCATGTTCATATGAACTTTTTTACTTAGTTTTGATCATAGAATCGGCCTGTTCAGGGTTGGCAGCTAATTATGAGACACCCTGTATAACGATTATACAGAGTGTCCCATAAGTACATTATCAAAAAGGTACTGCGACATTCTTTGGCTTAAAAAACGCGATTTGACCTAACTTCCATTAAGAAAAAATGCCTGGCTCCTTTGCTATTGACTATCAAAGTTCTTGAAATAAAATATGTTTTTTTTATTATCTGGAGAATGTTATGATAGATTTTAATGAAACTTGCTGTGGATTTGTTCCTAAGTAAGACTCATGTTTTGATGAAACAACCGCGTCCATCCGCCTTGGGCTAGTGGTAAATTCTTGAGCGTCTTGGTACAAGAATTACCAGAACATTTTATTTGGTCGCTGGAATCAATTCATTTTATTTTTATTGATGCATCAGCACTTATTCGAGATTTTCGTGCTCTTGGTAAAATCTTGTAGCATTCATAGTTTTTACGCAATTTTTTTTTTCAATTTTAGACAATCGTTATCACTACTACTCAAGTACAACAACTACTCGCTACTATCGTAGTAAGCGATGATGTCATCTTATAATAAATGAATTGTCAATCAATTCGTTTCGAATGGCGTTTTCTAATGAAGAGATGACCGACTGATCAAAGTCTTTGGGTTTTGCGAAGACAACTTGGGTGGGAGTGTACGCGTCTACGCGGCGCGATACCCAAATCGACAGGTTCCAGATTACCGATTTACATGGATTGAAATGAGTTTGCGGGAGATTGATCAATTTGGTGTTCGAGCCGTTGACCGTGTGGGTCGTCCTCAAGTACAAAATGCAGCCGTTGAGGGAGACGTTTTAAATAGGGTCGCTGAAGATCCAAATATCAGTACTCGCCGTCTGGCAGTGGAATTTGGAGTACCAAAAAGTACAATTAATCGAATCATAAGATAGCAGCTCCTCCATCCTTATCATGCGACGTCTTTTCAGGAGCTTTTATCACACCATTTTGAGAGAAGACTTTAATTTTGCCCCTTTATTTAAGGAGCGCGGGCACGTGATCCAAATTTCACCAGCCGAATTTTATTCACTGATGAAGCTAGTTTTACCAGAAGTAGTATCTTTAATTCACGTAATTTATACCATTACGCAGAAGAAATCCCACATGCGAGGCGTATTTACCACTTTCAGGTGGAATTTCCAATAAATGTTTGGGCCGGGATCATCGGTGACATCCTTATGGGTCTTTATGTCATGCCGCGCCACTTGAATAGCGAAAATGATTTCAATTTTCTAACGAATACCTTTCCGGTTCTAATGGAAGATGTCCCTCTTGATCTTCGTGCTCCTCCGCACTTTAGTGCAAATGTATGTAACTGCACATTTAAATAATACTTATGTTCCTGCCGAATGGTCCCTCAGGTCCCCCAGGTCCCCCGACTTAACGCCGTTAGATTTTTTTCTATGGGGAGCCTTGAAGAATAAAGTTTACGCTACTCCTGTGTAATCTCAGGAAGAATTATTGCGTAGGATTCAAAACGAGGCGGACGTAATACGGAATGATCCAAAAACGTTGAGGAGGGCTCAATTCAATTTCAATCGAAGGATCCAGCTATGCATCCAAGAAAATGGGGGCATATCGAACATGTCTTGTAATTCCACCATCATCTATCGTATCTATGTAACTATCATCCAGTTTCAATAAAGAGAATTATGTCTTTCCTAAGTACGTCTTTAGATTTTTTTAATGTTAACAATAAATAACTCTAATGAAGTAAAATGATATTCAATCCGTCGCATTGCGACAGACTTTAAAATTGTGTCCATTTTACTTTCAATATTGATATCCTAGGTAAAAGAATTGTCTATTATTATTAGAGAAACCTGCTTCTTGTAAAAGAACAGAATTACTCCGATACATCTAAAATTGTTAAGTCGCAATGAAACAGAAAATATTTTTTTGCGTAAAAATTATGAATGCTACAAAATTTTACCAAGATATGTACTAGGATAGTAGTGATTGTAGTGAGTATTTATTCTACTTGAGTAGTAGTGATAATGATTGTCTAAAATTGAAAACATTTTTTTGCGTAAAAACTATGAATGCTACAAGATTTTACAAAGAGCACGAAAATCTCGAAAAAGGACTGATACATCAATAAAAATAAAATGAATTGATTTCAGCGACCAAATAAAAAGTTCTGGTAATTCTTGTATCAAGACAAATAAGATCCACTTCTTATTTGTGGAAGGGCGAAATGGACGGTGTCTATTAGACGCCTTCATTATAGCCATCTTTCTCTATCGCACGGATTTCTATGACTTACTTTATCGCTCTCACGTAACGGCGGATGAACCTTGGGGACTTTCCGACCCTGTATAATGATGTAACAAAAGCCGGGACGCGTAGCAATTTATTTGTTAGTTCAGGGAACGGATGGGCCAAAAAGTAAAATATTTCAGTCAACATTAATTTTATTGAAAAATTAATAATTTTCAAGTAGGTTTAGCGACGCCACAAGGCCGTCCTGCTTAAAAGGACCCATGAAATTTAGCAGTATTTTTTTAACAAGTTCACTTAGACCGTCGGGGCCATGTGTTGAGCATCTGGTATAAAGAGAAAAATCGATATTTCTAATAACGCGCGAAATGCATTCCAAAGAACGTAGGAATTCCAAGAATAAGTTGTTAGAAGTTGCCAGAAAAATAATAATAGATCAAATAGCTGGTTTTTAGGCGGATTTTCCAAGCTATAAGAATAGATTAAATGAGATTGACTAATTCGTCCCGTATTGCTACATGGAGTCACTAGAGGAAGGCTAGGGTTACTTGTAAGTCCAGTTAGTCACCGAATTATTTATATAAATGTAAATTGAGTCCATTAGATAACTATTAACATGGCATAATTATGCCAAAGCGTCCCTATATTTAGGGTTCCCGCCAGTAAGATAAGAATAGAAACGTCTGGTCAGTTTTTCCTTGCGTTCCACATCGAGGAGTCTACTTAGTTTTAGAGTCTCGGGTTAATTTAATAATGGATAGTCATTCCAAATTTTACTATGGATCGCGCATTCCCTGAATCTCGGTATGCTGTCGCGTGTCAATAAATTAATT